AGGATACAAAGCAAAAAAGCTGCAGTATTGGAAAGAGCACATATTGAAGAATTTTTGACAAGGGCTTTCAATAAATAATATTTAATGATTAAGGTAATATCTCTTTACGTTTTACATGTTGTTAGGTGTTAGGTTATAGTGAACCTTGATTTATTTTAGGTTGCACTATAATGAGGGTTTCTGGTGCCTGTCGATGCTGCGAATTGACAAATTTGAAAATTAGTGACGTACAGACCAAGATGGGCATTTCAAGAAAATTTACAATTATAGAAGAAGGATTTTGCGTGAATGCTGTTGAAATACGCAGAAAATATATTTCTCTGCGCCGAATTTGCCTTACAAAGATAGATTCTTTTTAAGATACATCAATCAAAAATGTAGTTCTCGCCTGTTGGAATCAAGACATTGGCGAAGGTATCTTCAATAATTGCTTCATTCCTGAATATCGCAAATCCAGAAGCTTATACTGGCAATTGTATGAGGCGCACTTCAACAACTTTATTGGCCAGTAAAGGTGCTGATCTTACAACCATCAAACGGCATGGTGGATGGAAGAGCTCTCTGTAGCAGAAAGTTATGTTGAGGAGTCTACCGGGTAGGAAAGTACCTACCGATGGTCTATCTGAAGTTACGTGAGAGCGATAAAGTAAGCCATAGAAATCCATGCGATAGAGAAGGATGGCTATAATGAAGGCGTCTCATAGACACCGCCCGTTTCGCCCTTCCACAAATAAGATCCACTTCTTATTTGTGGAAGGGCGAAAAATAAAATAAAAGGTTTATTATTATTTTTTATACTACTAGTAAAATAAAGTACTTTATTCCACTAGTGGATAAAGTATCACTTTAGACGGTTCATATGTGTGGATAAAAGTCCGATTATAAGGTGATTTAATTATTTTTTGTTTGTTACTTTGAGAAGTATTGTAAATAGTTTCAATTTAGTGCAAAATTTAAACTTTTTCTAAAATTAAAACTTAATATTATATTTTTAAGCATTATCATGTATGTTTACACGAACCTTTTCCGCGTAAAATCCACTATTAAATTTTGGTCGGGCATTTTAATTACGCCCTGCAATAATGTCTCCAGGGCTTCCAATACTTTAGCTCCTTCAAGCCAAATCAATGAGAATTACATTCGGGGCAAGTTTGAATCATTTAGAGTCCTTCCAAATGCTATTGGAGATTTCCATGTCAAAGTTTGAAGGACTTTTGAAATTTTGCATAGAGTACGGTGTAATTACAGCTGCAGGCAGCTTTATCTAGTCGTCTTAGATTGGAATTAACACGTTGCTATCAATATTGTTGTTTAATATCCATGAATTTGCATTTTTAATTACGTAATTGTTGTAAAAATAATCCTTATTTAAAGTTGATGTATGAAACTATCAAAGGGAGTAAGTTCCAATATTAATTTATTATAACTCGCGCAAAACTCCTCCATATGAAATTGTTTTATCAAAATACATCGAGTTCTAGTAAAAATAATACTAATGAATATTTTTATTGTATAAAAACTGCTGAAACTTTTTTAGGAGACTATGTGGTAAATAATATAAACTGAGGAAATATTGAATTAAATTTCTTCTATTTTATTCTAAGAATTTTATGTCAGGAGTATGAAAACAATCAATAATGCTCTTTGAAGATCTCTTCCCTATTCCTTTTTAGACACGTTTACACGTTTTGTACAAATTTCTACATTCTTTGTAGCTTAAAGCTGCCTCTCCTCTTTACATCTTTTGGAAAAAATTCATTCGTAAAACTCCCTTACCCCCTTTAATAAGTAAAAAGCAATATTATCTTCCTCAGAACATGCAGTATGGCATACATAATATTTTCATAAAGAATGTTAATTTTTAAGAATACATACTGCCTTTGACATTTCTAAATCTTAACTTTGAACAAGTTATTTGATTTCCATTAAGTGATTTCAGTTTGAAAGTTGCATTTTTTTTGCTTATTTAAAGCGGTACAAGTACATTAACAAAATATTAAATTGAAAGAGGACCTTACCATTGATTGAGCTGAAGACATTTAGCTACCAACAGTATTTGCATTTAAAACTATAATTTTAATTTCTTACGTATCGCATGAAACAGTTAAATTGTAAAACATTTTATTAATTAAAAAAAAAAATTAAAATTTATTTTAAGTTTCAATTTGTTGTAAACTAACATTTAAAAAAGTAAATCAAAATAAACAGATTATGGTAATTAATTAAATAAATGAGCAAACTCGAAATACTACAGAAGATACTGAAATTATCCCCCATTTCCTTCTATGAAACTTCATTTTTCTCGAAAATGGTACATGCTACCGAATTTCGACATATACCTTTTCTGTAGTATGCTTTAGAGTTTACAGAACCGTTTAGAAATGTAATAAATTTTGACTTTTAACATATTTTTTTCGATTGTACCCCTGCAATTACCTGTATCGGCGACACGGCATTTCAGAAAAAAACAGTTTGCACATTATTCTTAACGCACTCGTGTACAAATTTTGACATTTTTATTTTTAACCGATTTAAAGATAACACAGGCCGACAAAATTTCAAAAAAAAAATATTACAGAGATCAGACTCTACGCTTCCGAAGGCATTTGGCGCGCTGAATCCGAATCTGGCCTCAGAATTGATCCATCACCCTAGGTTTCCGAGATATTCTAACCTAAAAGTGCAAAAAACACGTACTTTTGCTATATTCAAGGTTATGTAACTTGGCGAAAAAAATTTTTTTCTCAAAACTGAAAACATCATTGGAAACGACTATCTTTCCCCTTCAAAACGCATTTTTTTATTTGGAAAAAGCTCTATTTTTCGCGGAGATATCGTCAATTTAAGATGACCAGTATGGCTATATTATTACATCATGGCTAACCCCATAACACTGAGCGCTGCTAGCCCTAATTGTTAGGAACGTTAACCCCAAGCCCTATAACCCCACAACACTAAACGGAGCGAGCCCTCATCGTCAGGAAGGTTAACTTCAAGCCCTATAACCCAATAACACTAAGCGCTGCGAGCCCTAATCGTCAGGAAGGTTAACCCCAAGCCCTATATGTCTGGAAGGTTAATCCCAAGCCCTATAACCCCACAACACTAAGCGCTGTGAGCCCTAATCGTCAGGAAGGTTAACTTCAAGCCCTATTACCCAATAACCCATAATACCCATTAATTGTGTTATAGGTCGAGCCATGGTTTAATAAGGTAGCTATACTGATCATCTTTAATCGACGATATCTCCGCGAAAAATAAAGCTTTTTACAAATAAAAAAATGCGTTTTGAAGGGGAAAGATAGTAGTTTCCAATGATATTTTCAGTTTTGAGAAAAAAAATTTTTTTCGCCAAGTTACATAACCTTGAAAATAGCAAAAATACGGTTTTTTGCACTTTTAGGTTAGAATATCTCGGAAACCTAGGGTGATGGATCAATTCTGAGGCCAGATTCGGATTCAGCGCGCCAAATGCCTTCGGAAACGCAGTGTCTGATCTCTGGAATTTTTTCCTTGTTGGCCTGTGTAATTAAGGAAAATCATTTGGAAAGTAATAACTTCAACACGCTGTATCTCGAAAACAGGGCGTCTAAGAAAAAAACTTTACATGAACTACCCCTATTATTTTTCCATGAGGAACTTGCACACAACATGAAGGGGCACCCTGTATGTCACACGCTTAGTTAACGTTTCGAAAATCAATCTATTTTCGTTTTCAAAACTATGAGTGGTATTTTCTCGCCAAATTATTTACACTTTTGGTGTGTTCTATCATTATTTTTCTATGAGGAACTTGCACAAAAATATGAACGGAACACCCTGTATAATACTTTATTTAACGGGTGAAAATATTCAGTTTTAGTTCAAATATTATCACAAATGATTGAAATTATAGAAATGCTCCGTACCTTTATTGTTTTGTATTTGTTGTCGTATTTTTGTATTTGTTTGTTGAAATTGAAAAAAAAAATTAAATAGCTTTATGTTAATTAAAACCTACTATAATTTTTTTCATGTGAAACAAGCAGTTGAAAATGAAATTATTTCTGATTTATTCAACTTTATCTAAGGTTTATTTTACGTGTAAATAAAGAATTACCCAAAAATGGCTCGTTAATCGAATAAAACGGAAAATAATTGTTTTCTTAGAAACAACAACCGGAATTAAAATCATTTATCCAATTAACAAAATATATAAATGTATAATCTTAATAAATTTTAGCCCATTATTAATTAAGTCATTATCTCAGGTTTCATTAATTTACATTAAATATTTAAATAAATATATATTTTTTAAATATTTATATGAACATTTTTCTTATCTTGACGTTTTTACAAGATAAAGTTCAAGTATTTCCAGAAGTATTTAAGAAAATGTGAAATTTTCTTCACTTGCTAAAATCCTCTCTGTAGAAAACGAATTGTTTTGGAGACTCCTACATTTTTTCTTTCAGTGACCAGTCAACCCTGAAACACCCTGTAGATCAGAGTTTGAAAAAAAATAAACGAAAACTAAAGAAATGAAAAATAATACATTTATGTTGCTTGCTTGCAGAATTATAAGCTGGAATGGTGTATTGAAATCGCCAAATAAACAAAAATGAAAATTGTTAAAATTGGCGGATGCGCCAGTGACACGAACGACGGCAAGAAATTTTAATTCATGCAAAGATCCAAGAGTCCCGGCCTTTCCCCCTGGGATTAACTCTTAATAGCCCGAAGAACAATCTACAGCAATACGAGAAAATCCACCCCCACCCCGATATTTCGCGGAAGAAACCACTCGATCTTCGCGCCGGCACCCCGCGACCAACGCATGTCACTAATTATCCAAAACCGAATATGAATTGGTTTATAATAACCCGAAATTAAATGTTGATAACTGGAGGTGTGCTCGGGTAGGCGCCCATTGGCCGGAAGGCGGTTCCAGCGTCGTGGCGCATTATATAAAAGACGTCCGTGCTGGACTCGCGGCTCTCACTGTTCTGCGACAACCCCACATCACCGACGACTGACTCCGCAGCCCACCAGACGCACACCGACACCGCCGCACCAACAGGTGACCACGAGTCGGAGGTGAGTCGACTGTCATTTGTTTTCTTCTAAGATTGCTTGATATCGCTTCCTTCTCGCCACGCTCAAACTGTACGCCACAGTATATGTACCATTTTTTATAAAGTCGAATACTGGTAGAGAAAGTTTTTCAAAAACTTAGTTGTTCAGAGGATGGGTAAAATTATTTTTCCATATAAAATAATGAAGTTCTGTCGCAATTCGACTTTTTAGTTACAGGGTCATAAGTTTTAAACTTTTATCTGTTTTATTCTCTATTTTCAAAACTTAGGGAGTATAGAAGGTATTAATATTAAAAAAATGTTGTATACGAAAATTTAGAACATTTTGAGAACTTGGTTAATAATGCAACTATTTTCTATGGACGTTCCGCTCTCGATCCAGAGCTTCAACATTTATTTTCTCACATTTATTTTAAATTATAATCATTAATTTTACAAACAACCAATAATACTTCATAAATTAATTTATTAACACAAAATTAAAATAGGTGTATGAATTTTTTTCATTTCATGTAAGTCGAAAACTATTTTTTGTGTAATAATTAATCGACACTTGCCAAGTACTTTTAATTGTTTGCATTAATGCTAATTTAAAATAAATGTGAAAAAATAAATGTTGAAGGAAATATTGTTGTTTTCTTTATAAAGAACCAAGTTCTTAAGAAGTTTCAAGTCTTTAGTGCACAATTAAGATATCTATATTTCAAAAAAATACTTTTTTCCGTGTAATCAAACAATTGGAATGAAGTATAATTTTTAATTTCTAATCGAATTGCAGAAAAGAAACATACAATTTTATTACTAAAGTTTCTGGTAAAAACAAAAAATAAGATTCCCTCCTTCCATTTCTCTCTGTATATACAAGTTGTTCAAATTTATAAATGTTTATAGGCCATTAACAGAAGTAGCAAATAAAGCTTTAAACTAAAAATATGCCTACATTAAAATTGCAAATCATAATGCTGTCATCATTTTTTTTGTCAATTTTTGAAAAATTTTAACAGAAATTTAACACAATGTCATTATATACATGTTTTAATTGTTAAAAAAAAGTATTATACATAAAACAGTGCAAACCGTTCGTGCAAAGTGACATTAATTCTGGAAAAATAAATACGCAAAACAAAGAAATGGAAATAAATGAAAAAATATCGAGGACTATTACACTTTTAAATTTCTATACAATGAATAGATCTTTTTTACTTACGTTACTAGTCTCTGCATCCATAAATCATACAGAAAATATTACAATTAATTTATAATTTAATTTTTTGACCATTCTGACACTGTATATATCAGATAAGCTGTGTTTAATAGATTTTTTAATGGGTTTTATGTCATTGTTTTCATTGTAAACATTCTACGACTGCAGAATCTGCAATATGAAGTATCCTATATACCCAACATATTTTTTTAAATTTTTTTGTGAAACAACTGAGGGTATTTATCCAATATTTCAGCTGTAGTTCAGATTTTCCTGTACAAAAAACATTACAGGAGCTGTTTAATAATCCTTTTAATTAAACTGTAAAAGAATTTCAATATAAGAAATATCCAGTCGAAAAGTTTTTAACTCATTTACAGGATTTCAGTTTGGCGAGCTCACTTTCGTAATTTTGCAATAGTTTGGAAGGTATGAACAGAGCCTGAATTTTTTTACGTGTCAAACTTTTTTTAACAGTGTTTAAATATCTTTTGCAACAGCTTATATTTTTACTGAATCGGAACATAAAAATTTGATGGTAAAAATATTCTCTATGTATAAGTACTTTGTTTATTGTTGCCTAAACAGAAAAAATAACTTAATACTGGGAACTACACTTAAATATCCTCTATTACAGTACTTCAATGTCCTTATTCTCTTTTGTATACTTATGTACGTTCGTACGGAAAGAATCAAAATACCTCAACAGCCTAGAATAAAACTGCGTTTCGCAAATCTCTAAAGCAATTTGTCTGGCAATTTTCCGGCGTAAGAATCAACCATACGGTTTATTTTATATTCATTAATTTAATTTAATATAAATTGCTTTATTTTCTGCCATTCCCAGATGATTCCGTAATTCATTTAAACCAGCAGATTTCATCAAATCCATGCGTTAATTTGTTTTAGGAACGGTTAACAACAACTAGTTATCTCAAACCACATTTAAAGGAGTAATTTTTAATTTTAATATTTAGTCATTAATTAGATATACTGTGGAGAGATGTTGAATAAATTTGAATTTAGGTGAGACTGATGAAGTGGTGATTTTTCTCTTAATGATATCGGAAAATTTACAAGTAAAATGCGTTCCAATTATCAGCAGGCCTTTTTTACCCCACCCAGATTTAATTCGTTTTGCATGATTCAAACTAAAATTGCTTAGAATTCTAAAAGAGTGGACAATAACTGTGCAAGGTGTGACAAATTTCACAGTTTTTAGGGGTTCTTATTTTCCCCGAAAATATGGCAACAATGGATTGATTTGCTTTAAAGGTACATGACGCTTAATTTGGATGTTTGTGAAATAATTATGATTTTTCTTTATTTTTATAAAGAATATTTTTATTCGATTTTTGCTTAGAATCATATGACGTAGGTGCGCGATAGTTTTCTATAACTTTCGGTTTTTCAATGATAGTGCAGTTATAAATTATATGTATTTAAATGTAACAGTTTGCTTTTTAGTTTTTGAAATTTCCATAAAATTTGCTTGTAAATAATGTATCAAACATGATGTTTATACAGAAAAATGTTCTCCAAACGTTTTTTCTTGTAGTCAGTTGTTTCTTCTAACAATTAAGTATGCCATGTATCTGTATGACATAGGTATTGATGAAAAAATACATGACACACTGAGTTGGACCATAGAAATAGTTGAATTTATCAATAATTTTTCTCATGTGACTCCGAATTTTTTTTATAAGTAACTTGTATGATAGATACATCATTTGAAATGAAATTTTACAGAGATTTGAAAAACGCATACGGTTAAAATAATATTAATTTATTATATCTGAAAAATTGAAACTTATAATTAAAACAGATTTTCGATAGGTATGATTTTCAGTTTTTATATTGAGACAAAAGAATAAAAATTTTGATATTTCGGTTTGCCTCTGTAGAGGCTATAGTTAGACTTTATCCTGAAATGTCGACACCTTGTTTTGTTGATCTTTTTAGGGAGAATGTAGTGTAGTACTTAATATTTAATAATATTTTCAAATTACTACTCAAAATTATATTCTTTGACTAATTGATGAAAATGGAAATATTTCAAATACAATCCTGTATAGAACAACACTCGGACCGGCTACGGACGCAGAAAGCTGGTCGACGGCCTTTGAGTTTTTTTACTACAAAATAAACAAATCGGTTAGATAGACTCCACCCGAATACTATTCATTACAAAAAATTGGACGGGCCCAAGATAAAATATTTGTTTTTTAAATTTACCCTTTTCTGTCGGAGATTGCCTTTTAATTAGACAGTCACATGTTCCCATGCGAAAAAACTGTAATACTGTAATCAGCCTACATCCCTTAATTTCCATCCATGTATTCGAAATTCGTCCATTCAAATTGTAAAGCTGGTGTTATTCTGAAATAATTTTTTAATTATGGACAAAACTGATTCCAAATAAGTACGAATTATCCTTTCTGTTGGACGTAGAAATCAGCAAAATAAAACAGTATAAACTTATCACAATGAAGCTTAGGTACATCTGAAAAATTGTAGAAGCTTGGTGTCAAACTTATTAACTAAATTTCCATCTACAAAGGAAACAAAAATAGTATATTTTTAATAATAATAATAATTTCAACATCATTAGTAAATAACAAAATTAGCTTAGGCCCTAAATTAGATCCTTGTGGAACTACGGATGTGTGAGAAAACTATTTAAAGTTAAAACTATTGAATTGAAAAAGTACTTAAGATGACCACATAAAAATAATCCAATGGATTTAAGTCGGGAGAACGTGGTGGCCAATTTACAGGAGCGCCATTACCTCTACCCATACCATTTATTTGGGTACTGCTGATCTAAGTGGTTACAAACATTTACATTTACATTTTTTAGAGTAGATTGAAAAAATATATAAAATGTATTCATTCTTCTGCTTGTTATGGATTTTTAAATTTCTGAAATCATCCCTTAACTTCTAATCTCCCTAACTCTGTTAATTTTAATAATACAAGAAAACTTTTTTTCTAGCTCTTACCCCTTTTGAGCCATCTTGAAAAAACCCTTTATTTTATTTTTTTCACCCCTGGCCGGGAATTGAAAAAAAAAATTACTGTCACTTATTGTTATTATACACCGTGTCCACCTAGTGCGCGTAAGTCTATTATCTAGGTTAATAGAAGATATAACTTAATTTTTTTTTCTACAGAGTTGCCTACTTTCTCGAGCTGCACAAAATGAAAATATATTTGCATATACAGGATGTTCAGTTTTTCCTGGGCAGGTACCAACTTAATTTTTTTAAATGGAAACCTATATTTTTTATGGCATTATCGAATTCTGCGTGAAAAATTAACGGGACTTTGTGTTATGATCCCTATTAAAATATTGATAGTTTTCGAGATAATCGACTTTTTTTCTTATGTTTCGTCACTTCTAGTAGTTGACATAATTATGATTGTATGACAGCTAGAAATGATTTTTTTTAGGAACTGTAGAGTGAAAATGGCTCTTTCAAAAAAACGTATCAAAAGTTGACCTGCGATATACAGAGGGGCAAAACCTGATAATCCAAAATTTGAAAAATCTCGACTTTTTCAAATTGAACACCCTGTGTTTTATGACTTCATTATATGTCTTTCTGTAGACCTAAAATTTTTAATAACTTTCCCTAAACCTAAGTTGCGTAGTTTTTGTAAAAAAACCATATTTATGTAAAATACCGGATTTGCGCCCGTTCCTTTGTCGGGAAAAATATTGTAAGGGTATTTATTTTTATTAAATTTATTAGTAGTCTAGCTACACTATTTAAAATAAAAACTAATAACTGAAA